TCGTAAGATTCAATAGTGAATAACTGTTGTCATGACTAATCGCGACTGTCACAATTGTAAAGGTAGAAGTTTTGTAACAAAAAAAGGGGAGTAGTTAATCTTACAGTCCAGAAACAGAGGACCCTAGGGCCATCAAGAGAGGAAAGCACAAGCAGAATGCGGGACCTTATCCAGAGAAGCAGAAGCACCAGAGATGGAGGCAGAGATGGGGGTATGGAGAGTGGGAGCGGCTGAGGACTCTAGATTCATGGACTAAGAAGAGAAGGACTAAGAACTGGTGGCCAGGAGCAGACTTGCAAGAATGTGCCCTTTGGAGATGTAAATTATTATATATGCCTGAGTGGTTTTTTTGTTTGTGTGTTTTTTAAAAAGCTAAAGTGGATAGAGAGAAATACGTTTAACTGATTGTATGTGGAGGGGATTATAATCAATGTAATAAAACAAGTTATATAAATGATTGAATGTGAAACTGATGATCTGCCCTGTAAACTTTCACTTAATTCACAATAAGAACCTTAAATTAAGAAAACAAACAAACAAACAAGCAAAAAACTTTTTGTAATGACCCCTTGTAGTTATCCTGTGTCCTTTGAGAAATTCTATCAAGATTACCCCTTGGGAGTCCCAAAAGATACTGGCAACAACCTTCTGAGCTGACCTCTCTGCCTTGAGCTTAACTGGCCCAGCAGATGCCCTCAGAAGTCAGTGCTCTGATTGGACCTTCTCTTTGAAGGTTCCCTAACAAGACGCAGACAAGCTTACCGAGAGAACTGTCTGCAGCCACCCACTGATCACAGAGACACGTTTAAACAAATTTGGTTTGCAGTAAAGCCCCGCATTGGTGGACTGCAACGCTAGTGGCAGTACTTTTCAACTTAACCCTTGCATGCCTGGCCATCTGAACTCATGAGACAGATCCAGACATACTGACACCGACTTACCTACTTACAGAGGAGAGAGTCTGTCCCTGAGGCCGGACGGACTGTTTACCAGTCATACAGGAGCAGTTGGAAGCCACCCGGCAGCTCCATGGGAGAAAGAGTGGCAGTCTGCGAACTGGACTCGATGGCAGTGAGGATGCCCCCCCCTTCAGTATTTTGGCCACAGAGAAGACTGACTAGTAAGCACAGGTTTACTTGATGAACAGCCGTGTCTTTTCATCAGGGCCAGGTGTCCTGCTGAGTCACCCACTGGACCCCAGCTGCCTATTGTTGCCTTGTCAGCCTTGACCATCTGGGCAGCACCTTCTCTTCCCGAGGATAACCCTCTCCTGCTCCCGCACCCACAAGCTGTAGCTCCCACCGTTTCGAATGGTGGTCAGGGTGGTCATCCTGTATTTCAGCTTCCTCATCCCACCTGGACAGATAATATCCACATTTGTGTACCTTACTAATGAGACTAACTAGGTTTACAGGTAGATTCCAGGCTGGCGCTGTGGGAGAAGGCTGCCTGCACCTGTGGACACGGACAGCCTTGGAAACCCTGTGAGGGTCATTGTGAGGCAGGTTTGACTCAGTGGCAGTGAGTGCATTTGTAAAGTAATTTGTCAAAGTCGATTTCAACCACAAGGTCGGAGGTTCAAGCTCACCAGCTGCTTCTTGGAAACCCTGTACAGAGTTGTTATGGGTCAGAACTGACTTGATGGCACTGAATTTATGGAGCCCTCATGTGATGCTGTAGGATCAGCACTGAACCACAGTGTCGCTATGAGTCAAAATCAACTTGTTGACACTTAACAATAACAAAACTGTATGTATGAGGATTTTTGTTAAAGTTTAGTTAGCTAATTGTGTTGTTTTGGGTTTTTTCCCCTCACGTTATGCCTAACTTGGAGATCCAAGCCAGTGTTGGGGTCTATAGTTTTGTTTTTCCATATTATTTTAATTTCAGAGGAAAGATGCTATTTTGTATTTCCTTTGCAGAAAAATGATTCAAGTTTAGTGTGTATGTTTCTCTGTGCATACTTAGTTTCATTAAATTTTTTATTATTTTAGGTATCACCTATCAGGCAAGAAAAGAACTTCATAAAGCAGTAAGGAAAGTATTGGCAACATCAGCAAAGATATTACGGAATCCATTTGCTGGTAAGTATCCATTTGCTGGTAAGTATCCATTTGCTGGAGTCCTGCTGTGACGTTGTGGGTTAATGCTGGACTACAAAGTCGATTTGAACCACAAGGTTTAAGCTCACCAGCTGCTTCTTGGAAACTATGGGTCACTCTGGGTTGGAACAAGCTCAACGGCACTTAACAACATCAAGTATTTAACTTGGGATCCTTATCAGTAATTTCAAAATCATTTGATGATCAACCTGAGGTATTTTTTCTCCCATTTCTTAGACTAATGTTTAGTATATCTATAGAAAATTCATTGGTCTACTTTGATCTTTTGGGTTATATTTAAGTTTTATTATTGTTGTAAAATCTACATATCTGCCATTTCAACATTTTTCAGGAGTATAACTCAGTGATTTTACATTAATCATATTGTATAAACATTACCCTTAAATGATGCCAAATTTCCCATTATCAGAAACAGAAGCTTCATGTTCCCCAAATCCTGACTCTCCCTCTCCCATACCCTCTGGTAGCCACTGACAAACTTTGGCCTCTCTACATCTGCCTGTTCTTGCTACTTCATATAAGTGAGATCCTACGATATCTGACCTTTTGTGAAACAACTCCATCTCCCTCTGTGTCAGAGTACATCCATCATTCATGGTGTGGATTTACCCCGTTTTATGTATCCATCCATCTTTTGATGGATGTTTCATTGTCCGTATTTGGCTATTGAGGACAGTGCTGCAGTGATCATTGGGGTTCATGATTGCTTGTAGTCAGTCTTCAGGACTCAAGTGTGGTGAACAATTTTCCATGATTGCTTGTAGTCAGTCTTCAGGACTCAAGTGTGGTGAACAATTTTCTTTCTCCCCTCTTTATAGATAAATTGCTGTTAGTTGTTAATAAATATTGAGATAAATATACCCTTTTTTATGAGAATTTCAAAAGCTTAAACGTGCTAGAAAGCCACCCTTCTGCTATCGTGTAATGAAAATAGTACATCAAAAGTGTGGATAAACAGAGAGATCCATACCAGCTACAAGATAGCTGGTCTAATTCCTCTAAAAAGTAAAGGTAAGAAAACTTTCTGGTTTTGAAAGAGACCAAAGAGATATAATTAAATCCTGAATTTAGAAGACAGCTCTGAAGACGCTTTGGGGAACAATGGGAAAAATTAGATGTAAACTTGGACTGCATAGGAGACGATCTGGGAACTCTTGGTCAGTGTTCTTGGGTGTGATAATGCCCTCGTGGTCATATAGAAGACTATAGGCTTCTTACAAGGTGATTAAAGAGAGATTGTCATTATGTCTGCAACTTCCTTTCAGGTCGTTTAGGAACACACATGCACACAGACGTTGCATATATATTCACACACACATAGATGCATACATTGTATATGTTGCTGCCATCAGGTTGATTTTGTTCTGGAGGACATTGTAGAACTGCCCCATAGGGTTTTCTTAATGGGAGCAGACCGCTAGGTCTTTGTCCTGTGGAGTTGCTGGTTTAAACCACCCACTTCCCATCAGCAACTGAGCACTTACCCTTTTATGGCACCTAGGACTCATCGTTTCACATGCAAACAGATGAAGCAAATAAGGCAAAATAATAGTAGTTACTGAAGCTTGTTCTTTCCATTCTTCTGTTTGATATTTTTTGTGTTAAAAGGAAAAAAAGACACATAATGAAGTAATACAGTGTATAAAAGGTCACACACACAGACAGAATGGCATGTGAGTACTGAGAACACATTCATCAGTTATTACCAATACCTATGTTGTTGTTGAGTACCGTCCAGTCAGTTCTGACTCATGGTGACCCTGTATAGGGTTCCCGAACCTTTAGTGATCTTTGCGGGAGCAGAAAGCCCCATCTTTCTCCCGTAGAGAGGGAAGCAAGCTTGAACCTCAGACCCTGTGGTTTGCAGTCCAGTGTTTAACTTTGGGAGCTGCTGCTCTCCCATCAATACCTATAAGTGGACTTAACTCTTCTAGTGTAGATTTCAGCTCCTCATTTTTTATTTGTGAAGTACTGTGGAGTCAGTTCCGACCCATAGCGACCCTGTATAAGGTTTCCGAGGAGCAGCTGGTGACCTTGAACCACCAGCCTTGCAGTTCAAACGGCTTTGCAATCTGGTGCATTAACCCACAGAGCCACACCAGGACTCAACTCTTCATAGATTCCCTTAAATAAGTGTGAGAATGGAAATGTCGTCCTGACTGCTCACACTGTCTCCGTCTTGCAGACACTTTCAGCACGGTGGATGTGGAGGACCACGAGTGTGCCGTGTGGCTTCTTCTGAGGAAGAGCTTGTCAGGTGACAAGGCGGCGCGGCTGCAGGCGGTGCAGGAGATGTCTCAGGCCCACCACTGGCATGGTAATGGTCCCCACCGAATGCCAACACGTACCACCTCAGCACCTACCTGATACTCACCTAGCACACACCTACACCCTCCTGTTCCCCTGACACCTGCCTGATACTCACCTGACGCCCACCTGCACCCTCCTGTTACCTCCAACACCTGCCTGATACTCACCTGACGCCCACCTGCACCCTCCTG